GCATTTAATTTTACATGTCCTTATGTTACTCTAGTCTACCTTCCCAACTAAACTCCACACTCTCTGAGGTCAAGGATCAAGCTGTATTTTTTATTTAAAGTTCTTGGTCTTGACCACCTCAAATAGAACTACAGATCTCAAATTTGTCAGGACTTCAGAGGTTTTGTAGTTCAGCCTCCTGCCCATCAGGAGGTGTCTCGTTCAGAGTGAATTAACTGCCTATCTTCTGGTGTACCCCTGTAATCGGAAACCACTGTGTTGAGAGGCAGCCCTGGCCAGCACATTTCATGTTGAGACCATCATGCCTTCTAGCCTGACGTCTGGAGGACAGCACTTCAACTGTACTTTTGCAGGGCTAGTCCATGAAGTCTGGTCTAACTGCTGATATGTTCTGTAACTCTGTATGTTAGGTAGACGCCCAGTTATTGGATATGGAGGGAAACTTAACCACTTCAAATGTGGTTGAGAAAGTACTTTTTCATACCCTTTAGCTTACAGGAATCTAGTAGTCCTGTAGAGCTAATATTTTTGGCTATATTTTCCAAAAGTCTCAACAACAATGCCAACAACTGGGTCTCAGTCCTATCTAGGGGCTTTCCCAGTTGCCACACAACTAAGAAGTAAGAGGAAGTGGAGACTTAAGTCCACGTCTTCTAGGTTACAGTCGAAGCTCTTCTTTCCACACTGTGCTGCTTCACTGGGGGTGTTTTTTATTCCTCCCTCTTCCCAGATGTATCACTGAAAAAAGAAAATTTTGCAGGAATGCTGCAGAATGAATCAAAAGAAGGGTATGAATAGACATGTGTGAAGAAGGGGACAGCAAGCCTGCCCTAGAACATATCTGTTTCATTTTTTCCAAAGTTGTTCTGAATTAATCTTCCTTCCCCGCCCCATCCAAGGTGTCAAACAGATGTGAAAAGACCACAAAGCTTCAAGTCACAGCATTGGTTTATGATTCATTGATTCAAGGGGAAAACTAATGCAGCCAACCATGTGATTTCTGTTTATGGAGGCAACATGGTCAGTGATGAGCAACATGGCAGAAACCAGATCTGGGTAAAAACAGCAACAAAGTGGTTCCCTCTGGAGTTTGCAGAGGAGCTCAGCACTCAACTGGCCCAGACCTCCATGAGAGCTAGGAGAGGAAATAGGCCATCTTGGCTAGAGTGGGACACAGGGAAATCACAAGGAGTAACCCTTGGTTTTCAAGAAATTGTTCTAGGTTATATTTATTTGTTCATTTACTCACTTATTTTTCCTTCAGTCAGTAGTTAAACTGATGCAGTAGAAAGTGCATAGACTGGTTCTAGGTAGGCAGCATGATCTGGTCATTAGTAGTCAGGCCTCCACATTCAGAGAGCCCCAGTGTGAAAACCCCAGTCTTGTCACTTGCTGCTTATGTGACCTCATGGCATGTAATTTTATTGGTGAAGTCTAAGTTTGCGTGGAGGTAGGGGATATTAAATAGCAACTTCCTTGAGAAAAAAAGGATAATAATAAGACCTACTATATAGGATTTCTGTCTGGATTAGAGAGCACAGATATGAAGACTGCAGCTCTATGCCTGGTGTAAGGTTTGAACCCAACACGGCACTCACATTAATGTTCTCTCTCACAGGTTTTGTGAGCAGGAATTCTATGGTGGTTCAGCTTGGTGACCTGGCTTAGTTTCATCTAAGTTGTAGCTAGGGCTGGCATCTCAGAAGTACCTGCTTTTTTTGCCTAACATCTAGGCTGGAGAGAGTCTCAAGGCCAGGTGTCAAACAATAGGGACTCTTCAGTGACCTTTCTTCCCCTTACCTCTCTCTCCCTAGTCCCCTCACAGTATCTTACTAGTGGAGGTGTTAGGTCTATCCAAGTATCTTATTGACCTCATCTAATCCAGCCTCAGACCTGCCATAATCCCATTTATGACTTTGGTATCACAAAGTCCTTCTCAGATTCATGGAGAAGGGACATGGACTCCACCTTTGAGATGGATCAAGTAAACCACTGGCAAACTGCTTCAGAGCCACCCACCTCCCTACCCCAACTGCAGCTTCTGTCATGGCTTCCCCAACTAGGATTGTCCCCATGGGGTCATGCCTGCTGATGACCAGAACTCTCACCAGGTTGAGAGGTGCTGATTCCCTAGAGGCTAAAAGTGAAGGTGGAGAGATCTCCGTAACGGTGCAGAGGATGCTGGACTGGGATGTTGGGGTACAGGGGATTGTACAGCCTTGTCTCAATTATCCCTGCAAATAGCCAAGCATATCTGGAGCCTGGCCTTTGTGCTCCCCACCATCTGAGCTCTGCGAGCAGGAGGTTACCTAAATACAAGGAAGCTCAGAGAAATCAATTATGTTTCTGAGACTCACAAAGCTATGTGTGGGTGAGGGGTGGAACTATGATTTAGACCTTTCCCTGTCTCTTCTCAGTCATGTGCTCCCTGACCTTCTCCTTGGTAGTGTGTATGTTGGGGGTAAGGGGCAGGCAGCCAGACCTCTCTTCCCTTGTCTCCACACACAGATACCAGGAAACTGGGTGTTATAGAACTGCCTTGAGGGAAAAGTGGGAGGAGATGGCTGTTCTTGGTGCTGCCGCACTATTGGCCAGCCACAAAATGTGCCCCTATTTTCACCTACCAGGAGAGAGCACACTAGTGGAGATTCTTGGGGATCCCAGGACTCATCTCTCAGTACAGAGTTAGGGGTGGGGCAGTCAGCTGCTCTTGGTGCACTGAAATTTCAGAGTGGAGGCGGTGGGGGGAGGGGAGATGCAGTTCAACTAATTATAGTAATAATAGCGGCATGATTGAGTATTTAACAAGGGCTGGATAAGCGCTGTATATTCATCATCTCATTTAACCCTCATAAAAGTGTCATCCTCATTTTGGAGATGAAGAAACTGAGCCTCGAGATGAAGTGAACTGCCCTAAGGTCACTAGTAAGTGTCAGGCAGGACTGCTTGTCTGTGGAACTCAGCCTCCCCACAGTACTCACCTCAGCCGCACCGAACATCTACAGCCTTTCAGCAGCACCTTTTGTGCCCCTTCACATAATAAATATTAATTGAAAATATTGGTACCGCAGCCACAGGCACAAGCTGCTGAGCCACCATGCTGTGTTGTGGTAATTAAACCCTTCATTGCATTGTCATATTCGAGGTTGTCAGAGTCCCTCCCTGGGGAGGCAGAGGTAGGATGAATGCTGTAGTGGCTCATGTGCACCCACAGATTCCAGTCTGCTCTGGTGTCTAATCCTTGTGGGGGCAACTCCTCTTGCTTTCCCAGTGGAATTCTTCTTACTTTCCCCACACCAAGAGTCAGCCCAGCCTAGGCAATTGTAATACTGTGTCTCTCCATCATAATTTGGTTGTCTATTTGATATAGTAGAAAATATAGTAGAAAGGGAGGTGACTTCCGGGTGAAGTAACTCAAACACTCACCTGATTTCTGTATTATTTCCCATACGGACTGTGATCCCGCCTCAACTTTGATTTTTTTCCCCCTCATATAATGTATTAGAAATAAAATGTTTTCCTTTTTCTTTTACTTAACTCACATGTTTTTCTGAGGCATAGTTGCAGGATCGTAACCATGGGGCCTGACTAGGAAAAGAAGTAGTAAATATTTGGATAGAGATCCATCATTGGGAATATGGCCTCTTAGTACTTTAATGTGCTGATGGAAAACAAAGCCAACTTACAGACACCTTATTGATACTCCAACAGCCCAAACGCTGAAAAGTTTCTTATAAGGGAGGCACGGTTCATAGGAATTAATCTATTATTAAGAATGGTAGCATTATTCACTGTTCCTTTTTTTTTTAATCCAGATTTCGTAAGATAATTTTAGAGAACATTGGCTATTTATACTTTGCTTAAGCGTTCATTCTTTTTCTCTCTCAAATTTTATTGATTTGTCAGTCATTTATATAACTGTCATTTTGGAAACACAGTTTCACCTCTCCAGAGCTGCACATAACTTCATTCACCCTCCACCACAGGCCCAGAGCCAGTACCCAAGCCCCACCTTTCCCCCTTCTCAACTTTGGTTTTCTCTGTCCTGGCTTTCTCCCACCCAGGTGGCCTCCTTCTTTCCAACACCAAGACTACCCTAATGCTTTCAGTTCTTCCATAGTAAGTTCTTCTCTTTGGATCCCTTGCCAGGAGCTTAAACTGAGAAATTGTGGCAGGAGTAATCCATGCAGTGGTCTTTCCTTAATGTATAAGAGTAACAAAGTTACCTCAACACTAGCTCACACTTACACTATGTTATGGTGGGCTAAGGATCTAAATGAGATACGATCTTTTCCCTAACTGAGTTTGCAAACTAGTTGGAAAATGGATAGTAGGTAGATAGAATCCAAAGTCTGTGAAGATTACTTTTGTTTCCAGTAAGAAAATATTCAACTGAAATTAGTCTAAGCCAACATATAAGGCAGATGGGACAGATTAACTATTCCATTTCATGTAATTTCAAAATACTGAGGTACATGACTTCAGGCATGGGTGGATTCAGGTACTCATAGGATTGCACCAGCACTAGCTCTTCTTGGTGACAAGATGACTTTTGGCAATGTTCGGCAACTTAGAAATATATAGAGAGAAAGAGACTGGGAACTGAAGTCATGTACACATTCCTGAAACAATTACTGTCGTCAGAGGAAGAGTTTATTTCACTTATAAGCCTGATCTGGATTATATGTTCATCCTTGGCAGTAGAAAGAGAGGTCAGCACTCTTGTGTGACATGATCTTGAAGGAGGGGAGCTTCTAAAGAAAGTTTTGTTACCTGAAGAAGGGACAGCAAAAGCCAGGTCAGCATAACAGAACTCTACCATATACAAATGAATACTTCACTCTATACAGTGTCCTTAAGGCTCACTGGGCATGCTACAAGGTATCATTAGTCAGTAGACTTGACTTCTACGTGATGTCCTTCCTGCCGAGGTGAGCCTGGGTTGACTAGATCTTAAGGCTAACGACAAAAGTCTGACCTGAATTTTCTCTTCATTTCAGTGATCTGGACAGAAATAATATCACAAGGATCACCAAGATGGACTTTGCTGGACTCAAGAACCTCCGAGTCTTGTAAGTAACATACTCCTTTCCAATGCACCTTCATTTTCAGCTTTGTGAAAATGTTCCCTTGACCTAATATCACTCATATCACACCACCAAGCACTAGACAATAGGAATTCACTGTTTTTCGGCAGAAAGTCCTTCATTAATGTATCCAAGTTTTCACAGGTGTCTCGTTCTGTGTCTCAATGCTGCTGGTCTGGCTAGATGGATGGAAGAAGTCAGTTCCAGAGACAGGGAAAACAGAAGGCTATCCATGAATAAATCAACATGTCCAGCTTGTAGGGTGACAACAATGTCAGGTTGACTAACCATGCTTCCCTTCTATAGAGATTATAATTTCTTCTCCAGTTTGTGCATTAAAAGAGCAATCAGGACCACAGTTGTTTATCTTGTTGCTTAATGGAGAGAAGAAGAGGAGGGAGGGAGAGTCAGACTGGGTCAGAGCCCACAGCTGTGCAGACAGGTAGTAGATTTGACATAGGCATTGGTAGTATGATAGAGTGAGGAAAACCAGGTCACACAGCTAAATACTGAGCACTTTCACCCATCCCGAAGCCTGTGAATGGTAAGAAGCTGCTCAGGTGTTTGTTGACAAGTCTCTAATATTTAGGGATTCAAGAAAGGAGCAATTGACTCCTTTTTCCTTCTTTACTCAGAAGTCAATTTTGACCCTTGAATGAGGCTTCAGACCGGAGTCAGCCTGAATGATTGGTCACTACTGTTTTGGTGCTTATTTTATCATACAATCTTGTCTGCACATCGTTACCATTAATAGCTGCTCAAGTCTTGGGATCTGAAACCACTCCTTTCTTTTTAGCAATCGTCCTTGATAATATGATGAATTTTATTTTTCTAGGGACAAGAAATACCAGGTTCTGTTCCTGAGTCAGAATGAACCTACCACGTGTCTTTGGGCAAAAGACTGTACTTTATTCAAAGTCTCAGTTTCCTTATCTATAAAATAAGGATTGAATAGCCTCCTATTTTGCTTATGCTACTAGAACAAAATAATCACAGATGTGGGAGCTTCCACAATAGAAAGCTATTCTCACTGGTGTGGTGGGGAGGGGCGCTCAGAAGACCGAAATCAAGATGTGGGCAGGGTTGGTTGCTTCAGAGGGCTGTGAGGTCAGGATGTAGTCCAGCTCTCTTTTCCTCTTAGTGGTTTTCTGATACTTGGTGGTTGTCTTTTCCCTTGGAGTTTTCCAGTTGTCATCATGCTATGCGTATCAGTCCAAACTTCCCTCTTTTATAAGGATACCAGTCATAGGGACTAGATCCATTCTAATGACCCCATTTTAACTTGATTATCTCAGTAAAGATCCAATCTCCAAATAAAATCTAGTTATCATAGACAGATGATTAGGATGCCAATATGTAGGGACAGAGGGTATAATTCAATCCATGGCAGCCAGAGTCCATCTAACTCTTACAGCTACACATATAATGTTTTATGGTTTTAATATTTCACAAGCAGTCAACTTGTCAAGTGTTACTTATATAACATTGTTTTTCTGATTGAGTTATAGATAATGGTAATGATGAAGACAACTAAATGTGTGTGTAAACACACATATATGTATATGTATATATGTATGTATATGTGTATATATAGTACTTTCCATAGACCAAGCTCTTTGTGGCATAGTAGAAACAAAGAGGTGGGCATAAATAGGAACCCAAGTATGCCTAGAGGAGACATGCCCATATAGGTTCAGCAGACCCAGATCCCCAAAGCAGATTGCTAAAGTAGAACCCAGAATATATGCTTTCTAACCTCCCTGCAGTGCCACGATTCTGCATTACAGAAAGCTTAGAAAACCAAGGCAGTACTAGTCTATACATTGCTCAGAGCAGTGCCTATATGCAGATGGCTTCCTGAGGTTCCCTGAGCATCTGAATGCTGGGCCTCCAGCTGGCAGTGTTTGCCTGTGTGTTCTCTTCTAGCCATCCTCAAAGGGAAGACGCTCCTCTCCACCAAGTCTTTCTTTTATCCTAAGCATTCCTATGTCTGTAAAGTGGTTGGCTTCTCTGACAAGGTCTGGGAACTCAGAACTGATACTGGGGCAAGAGTGGGGGATTCCAACTCCCAGGTTTAGGGCCATTTTTGTTGAAGAGATACAGGCAGACAAATCTGATTCTGGCCATGTGTCACTTTCAAAAACAGTGAGCACTTAGCTTCTCTATTTTTTCCCACTTCTTCCCCCTGTATTTGTGAGAGATTTCCTTTCATACAAGTCAGAAATTTTACCTAATGCTTCATTTTCTAACAAAGTCAAAAATAACCCTTTGATTCACTTACCATTACATCAGAAAGACTAATAAAAATTCCAATTCCCATATCAGCTCTCTGCAAATAGAAAGTTTAAAATAGTCACAAAAGATCATATTAATATCCTCTGGTTTATAACATTCCTTGACTACAGTTTATCTTTTCAGTTAATTAGGACATTCTTAGTTTGATAAGCAATGCCAAAGCCCTTACCCTCTAACCCCCAACTCCAGAGATGCTTTTAATATACTGTGTTTCATTGTCTCCCTTATCAACTCAAGGACAATCCCATTCAAGTGGCCTTTTACTACTGTGAAAAAATCTGTTGGATGGGATGGCTGACGTGATTTCTAATATGTACATCAATTAATCAATAAATAAATTGTGTGTGTGTGTGTGTGTGTGTGTGTTGAAACCGTATTTTCCCTCAATCTATTCTTTTCAATTGAGTAACCTAGACAACTATCTTTTCTGAAAAGCTTTCATTACACCTTGGTGCATTCCTTAAATCTGTTTCTTATTTACATTTAATAGTGAAGCCAGAAAAAACTCAGTCGTCTTGAATAATTTGAGCTTGCCACACATTTCCATGCAGAACTGTTCATACAGTGCAGGTGAATGGAGAAAGTAGATAAAATGGCGATTGGGGAACTTCTTGCCTCATCCAGAAGCAATTTTCCCTAAATAAACTGCATTCAAGAAGAAGATATAAGAATTTCCTATAGCAATTCTTTCTCCCATAGGCTGGAAGCAGGAATAGGTCTCTTCTGGTGGTATCAATTATATTCTCTTTCTTAGTAGTCTTTTGCAAGAACTCTGCAATGCCCACAATGTGGGAAGCAGCTTTATCCCAAATGGGGTTAATAAAAGAGTTAAACTCCACCCCAGTCATCATCACATGGGAACAATTTCCGATTCTGATCCAGTGTTAAAACTAAGAAAAAACACACACACACATACACACACAATGCCAAAAGAATGGCAAATGAACACAGCCTGTGTTCCTCTAACTCAGAACAGACTCAGTCAGGGACAGCCCTTCTGAGCATCTAGCCTTCCTGGACCCCCTGTTCTCCTGCCTCTGGTGAATGCAATCAGAGTGATAACCCAGTGACTTAAGCACAAACTCCTGAGTTGCATCTCAACTTAAAAGTTTGTATGGCTTTTAATGAATATATTCAGTGCTCATTCATTTCATTCACTCTTTTATTTATTTATCACATTGGTTACTTTTTTGAGCTTTTAAAATCTAGCTACTGGGCTGGACTGTGAGAGATCTAGGATGTAGATCTAGAGGGGGCCCTAAACACTTTACCAGTCAGGATCCCAGCCAGAAAGAGATGACACTCACATAGAACAAATGAGGAGAGCTAAGTAAAGAATTATTTATAAAGGTGTGGGTAATGTTAAGAGAAACCAAGAAGACATGGTGGCTTTCCTTGTGGCCAGTTAAACAGGGAGTCACAGCTGCCTTCTGAGCCTCAACAGGCAGTGGGAGGCTCAGTGGTTCTCCCGCTGAGCAAAGGTACAGTTGCCAGACATGTCATCTTCGGTAGAGTCAACTTGAAGTGACTTGGTAGGGAGGAAGGTGGGAAAAATCTTCCAACTATTTTTTTTTTCCTAGCCTTGATCTATTGGCAACCCTTTGGGTGGACCCGACAGGAAACCAGAGTCAAAAGAAGCTGAAAGAAGTCTTGATGTAGCCAGGAAAAGTTATCTTCCATGGCCTGAGCAAAGTAGAGAGGGGCAGACATCAAATGCGTTTTTATTTGCATTTTTCCTACTCTACTTTCTGAAAGAAACGGGTCATATTAGATGAATTTGTATAGAACCGAGAAATCCATCACAGGATGTTGGAGTTGGACCATTCCAGAAACCCAGAGGAATGTGACTCTCAGCTACCCTAGTGTTGCCCCTTGTTATAATTGGGATGTAATGGCCACAAGCTCTGTGATGGATGGATTGATAATAAAACCCCAGCTGAACAAACCCCTAGTCACTAAGACTGAACTGGTCTCCTGTTTAGCAGGGTGTGCTGTGAGAATCTATTAGCATTCCAAAACCCTCCTTGCCATATGGTAGTGAAAAAGGAAGAGAAGGAAGGAAAAGGACATTTATTAAGCTTCTAATTGTACTCCAAATCCTGAGCTAGAAAACTTACATGCTTTGCTCCATTTTTTTCCTGTATAGGAAATAATGTTTTATTTGCCCTATTTAAAAAATGAGGAAACTCAGGCTCAAAGAGGTAGACTAGAAGCCATGGATCACACAATCAGTTCATGAGAAAACAGGCAGGGGATTCTATCATAGATATGGCATGTTCACCGAACAGGGAGTGAAGGTCTGCCCTAACTAGCTGTGGGACTTCCTACAAAGGATTTCTCCTGGAGTGACTGTCTTGACTTCTCTGCTGTATGGTGTCTACATCTGTTAGTGAGGAGCTTCTAGGGACCAGAAGTGGATGAGGACTGTGGCAAACTGGAGTTCCAAGTGGCTGACCCATACTCAGTTCTTACCAAGTGCTGATTCATGTAGATTTTTCACGAGAAATTCCTCATGTGCTTTTGTGTGTAAAATACACACACACACACACACACACACACACCAAAAAGACCTTAAGTCTTTAAAAAAAAAAAAAGATAAACATCACTGAACCTAAGCAAAATAAAGATAAACATCACTGAACCTAAGCAAAATACAACTCTGCTTGTCTGTTCTAGACTACCTTTGTGATTGATATAAAATCAATATGTGCCATGAATGAAGGTCCTCTTTAGTGTTTCATTTCTTCAGTAAACCTTTCCTAGAAGGCTGCTCTGTTAGGCCACTGTATTCCATCTGGGAGTATGATGATGAATGAAAATTCCTGACCTCTTGGTCCTTAGGCCTCCTGTGGAAGATGGTCTTGAACATTAAGCTGAGGGCTGCAGTATCAAATCAAGAAGTCCAGGAAAAAAGGAGTCACTCCTGTCTATCTAGGAATCATTTAGAAATGAAGTTCATGAAGCCTCCCCAGGACTACCCATTCTTTCCTACAAGTGCTCCATGGCTTCTCTTCTTCCCTAGTCCAGAGGCACCCATGGCCCTTCCTAAAGGTTGTCTTCCATAGAAATAGCCTTCCACCACACTGCATACCTGCTAAATCCCCACTGAGCCACCAGGGTCAGTCCAGTGAAGCTGTACCTTCCTCTCTCCCAGTCTCTACCAGCCAGCCAGCTAATCCATTTAAGATGCCTTTTTTTTTTTTTTTTTAAGGTTGGGAAACAAATGCTTCATTGTATGCTCAATTCTTAGGGTATGCCACACGCATGAATCAAACTCACCTAAACAGAGTGCTTAGGTTTTTTAATCACATGTGGGAAGCCCATGACAGGGAGACCTAGCTTTTGTGAGATTCACCCTCAAGGCAGCAGCAGCCAGGTCCAGGGCATGTGGGTTCCTGACACTGCCATTTGTCCAATAAGAGTTTTTTACCTTTTCGCTGAGGTGACCCAGAGACAGAGTGCGTGGAAAAGGCCCTTTTCAATGAAGTATTTTTGAATCCTTGGAGGAGGGAGCTCTGAGGGAATAGATGCTGAATATATGTGTGGTTTTTATAAAAAGAAGCTTTTACCTCTTCCTTTTCTGTGCAACATCCTGCAGTGCTTGGGGGGACATTTGCTGAGAACATTCTTAAAATAGAGGCATGGAAACCAATCTGTCAGGTAGAAGTGTGCAGGCGGCAGAACCCTGGTTACCGTGACACCAAGCTGGGATGTGAGTTATCTTGTCCCGTTAGACTGATCCTGGTTGGAGGCCCCAGAGGGTTGCAGGAGGGGCAGAGAGCCATGCCTGAATAGCCTGAAGCCTATCATATGGATCCCCGAGCCCCACTTGTCCTTGACCATTGCTGCTTTTGTGGTTCTAGGCATCTGGAAGACAACCAAGTCAGCGTCATCGAGAGAGGTGCCTTCCAGGATCTGAAGCAGCTGGAGCGATTGTAAGTACAGCACTGTCTCCTTCTTTTCTTAAAAAGTCTTTTTTTTTTTACCCCCTCTGCAAGTAGGCCTCATTGTGACCTTGCAAAAAAAAAAATAAATAAAAATTAAAAGTCTCCAATGTTTAATAAAATGTTTGCTGTTATGTTTAAAGCACATGAGATGCATGTTAAGATGACGCTGAGATCCATTTAACTCTTTTTTTAAACTCTTTTTGGAAAAAAAAAAAAAGATGATAGAATTGGTATCTGAGACTTGTTTTTCTTCTCCCCAGCCTTGCTCTCTCTCGGTATCTGTTTGTGGGGCTTGTTTTCCACTAAGTCTCTGGCTCCCTTTCCTGGGAAGAAGGAAGCTGTACTTAGCCTTGTCATGGAGCCACTTCTCACAAACCCTCTACATGAGCTCCAGGCTCCTTCCTCAGTCCCTGTCCTCCCCACACTCTCTCTGCCCAGTTCTTGTTCTCATGGGAGAGGAAGGACAGCGAGTGGGTGAAGCCTGTGGCGTGCCTGCTTCTCCTATGAGTGAGCATCAGCCTGTGTCAGGAAGCCCACACATTTCCACGAGAGAATGCATTGCCAGGAGTTTAAAAATAGGCCAGTGTTCTGACTCTGTCAGAGAGGGAGAGGAAAAGGGGTGGGGATGGGAGATGGATGGAGTCTCCATTTGTGCTGCTGATTAGTGCTTTTGCAGAAAATTTTCAGGTCTCTTTGATGAGGGGATTGCTAGTATGGTTAAGTGGGTAAGCTTCACCTTACCTCGGTTAATCACAGCTGGCAGCTCTCAACATCTGGATATTTGCTTTCTGCCCGCTGAGTGGGGATTGTCCCCAGGAGCACTCAGTCATGCTGGTGGGCGGCTCTCTCCTGCTTCTCTCTGAATCTGGGCTGACCTGCCATGCAGCCTCCTTCCAGTGCAGCCTGGAGATGGGGCTGTACCAGCTCCCCTCTCCCCCCCACCCCTCCCCCACTCTAAAGGGTGGTACTCTGCCTCTGCCTGCCTTGTGCTGAAACCTCATCTACAGAGCTGGGCTTCGGCAAAGTGGGGACTGCTTGCCATCAACTTGTTACCATGATCTGACATCTCCCCCAGTAGAATCACTATATTGGGGGCAACACAGGAATGGGAAGGGGTACTATCCAGCAGAATCCTTTACTCCCCTGTCATGTGAACCCTCAGTAGTTGCTGTTCTTTTGGGTCAAAAGTCACCCTATGTTGTTCTACTTTGGTGACTTGAAACTTGACATTTTATTTCCTTTAAGGGAAAATAGGTATAAAAATTGAATGTTGTTTGTGTTTACACTTACAAATTATTCACATTTAAATCAAGGGGGAAATGAAGGCATTTGTTGAATGTGCCTCCTTTCTGTGATACTTAATATTTCCACAGAAGAATAAATACAAAGTCCTTTGTAAAAAGGTCTCCTCTTGCTTAGTGTTCTGATTATAAGGGTAAATAAATTCCCAGTTCATTAATTTCATGATTGTTGGGAGGGAACTAATTGAGTAGCTTGGACATGCTAGGAACTATGCCAGTGTTTTATAGCCTATCTGTTATTTTATCCCCACAAAATTCCTGTGAGGTGTTATTACCCTCATTTTGTAAATGAAGAAACAGAGACCCAGGGAGGTGAAGCCAAAGATTGTCAGGGGAGCCAAGATTCAGAGCCACATCTGTCTGACATCAAAGCCCACATCCTCTTATACTTCTGGGCTACAGACATTGGATGAAGTGTGAGCTTTAGCAATGGCCCTGCAAATAGCCTCTCACATACCCATTTAACTCCAGGGAATATTAGTGAAATATTCTGGCACAAGGCCCTTTTCTTTGGCTTGGTGAGCACAGCTGAAATAGTGTGCTTGTCTGGGAGCCTGAGGGGATTCCAATTGCAGGGTAAAACTGGCTATCTCTCTACTTTGGCATATTAGGAATGTAATTTTAGCTGCCATACTAGATAAACTCTTAAATCGCATGGCTTAACACAGTGGGAATTTCCTTTTATTCCTATCAAACCCTAGTAAGAGCTCAACTAGCTACTGGGTCTCTCGCCTCTAATAGTAGATTTAGGGACATGGGATCCTGTCATTCTTTGATTCTTCCACCTCTAAGTCTTGGCTTCCAAGGTACCAATATGTCTTCCAACAAGCCAGTGGAAGCAGCATGAATGGTCACACATCTTGACTGTTTCTAATTTAGCTTTTGTTATGCAGTCTATGAACAGACGTGATCTATAAAATGGGAAGATATATTTGCTATTTACTCTTAAATAAGTAGATGGCTGATTATGCCATCTCTGGGCTTCACTCCTGACTTATCCTTTCTATTTGTCTATGTTTAGTAATAGATTAATCTTTGTATGTCACATTCTGAAATACAAGCTGGACATTACTTTGATACTTTGATCATTCATTTCTGGAATGTTTGTGTGTTAAAAATGGTCATTATTGGGTTGATTTCTTGAAGACTTAGGGAGATATCAGGTAATAATTTAGAATTCTGTATTCCATGATAGGATCCCTGCTGCACACTGAATCAGGTACCCCTCTTCTCTGACAATACATGATTGCCCCTGTCACAGCACTCATCACATCACATTATTATTCTCTACTTTCCAGATTGGGCCTTCCCAACACTATGAGTATGTTGAGTTCAGCAAGTGTGTTCTATTTAGCTTTTAATCTCAAAACCTTGCACAGTCATAACAAGTTTCTGTGAAATATTTTATCAAATACCTGGGGTTTTGTTCTATGCCACTGGTTTTGAAAGGGGACCAAAATTCCACCACCCCCCAGAGTGCACTTGGCAACATTGAGAGACATTTTTGTTTCTTGCTCCTGGGGGGATGCTGGTGGTCTGCAGTAAGGCCATGGATGCTGCTAAATATTGTATCCATATAATATACAGGATAGTTTCACAACAGACAGTGAATTATCTGGTCCAAAATGTTAATGGTGCTAAGATTGAAAAATTCTCCTCTTTACTTATTATGCATCAGATTGCATGTTAGAAACAACATATGCCTTCTTGCTTAACCTATACAATATTTTGAGGTTACAATGACAATGTTCTTGATGTGATAAAATAAAACAAAATTCAAAGCATTGCCTCTGAACCGTAGTTTCTAAATATGTTTGTTCTAAAATCTAATTCAACTACATCTTTCTTATAGCTTCTAGGAAATAGGATAGAAGAACAAGTTCAGTGAAACCAAGAAAAAACAAATTTTGAGGGTAGCCATTCTACAAGATAACTGCTGTGGTTTCTTCAAAACTTCAGTGTCATGAAGGAGGTGGGAGTTGATTGTTCTAGATTAAAGGAAGCTTAGGATAAATATAGTAACATAAAATTGGGAGAGTTAATGGAGTTAAAATGTTATAAAATCCTTGAGTTATCTACAAAGTGAAAAGTATGCGTATGTCTATTGCCTTATTAAATCAAGAATGTATGTTATAATCTATAGGAAAGACACTAAAAAGAGTAGTTTAAAAAATATAGTAACATAGGGAGAGGCATAGAATAGAGGGAGTACAAAATTATGTGATTAGTTCAAATGAGGGACAAAAGAAAATAAAATGCAATGTAGAAAAATGACACAAAAACAAAGAGTGAGGTGATGCATTTACATACAAACATACCATAGTTATTTTATGTGTAAATGGATTAGTCCCCCAGTTAAAAAATACAGATTACCAGAGTGGATTTAAAAAAAAAAAAACTGACTAAAGAAAAAATTTTTATACTTCTTACAAAATAAATAGACATTAAAACAAGTAATAGAGAGAAGTTTAAAAGAAAGTGACACCATGAAAACACTAACCAAAAGAAGGTTGGTCTAACTCAGTTACTACTAGATAAAATAGACTTGGTAAAAAAATTGGAAACAAAGAGAACTACTCATAATTACAAAGGAGTAAATACACCAAGAATGTACAGCAAATCTGTTTGTATGTATCCGTAACTGAAAATACATTAAATATTGACAGAACTAAATGGATATCAAGTTGATGAGCATAGCTGAGATACTACTCTTGCTTTTGATAGAAAAAGCAAACAAAATTATTAGTAATAGGCCCTCCCTGGTGGCGCAGCGGGTTAAAGCACAGCACTAAGAAGCTAAAGCCACTTCCACATGAGTTCATTCCCTCCTGCCCCGGAGGTGACCACATGGCGTGGCAGACCTCTCCTGACCTGCCCGCTGCTCCCCTCAGCAGTGTACTTCGTTGATCTGCCTGTTCTGCTCCCCACTCTGTCTCTGGCGAAGCCTCTCACCTCCCCTGAGCCTCTGGCCTGTACTCCAGTTCTGTATGTGCAAATAAATAAATCTTAAAAAAAGAAAACTTAAAAAAAATTAATTAATTTAAAAATTACTAGTAATAATACATACTATCTTAATGACAGATTATGCAAACTTGATCAAACTGTTATGCAAAGAACACTGTAATCAACAACTGTAGAATAAACATCCTTTTCAAGTATATATGGAACTTTTATCAGATACTGCTCAAGAAAGTAATCTCAACAAATACAAAGAATTGAAATCATGTGGAGTATTTTCTTTTATCACAGCAAAAATATACAAGAAGTTAATATGAAAACAACAAGTGGGAAATTTCAGATTTTTTGGAAATTGAGTAAATACTTTTAAATTACTTCTGAGTTAAAGCTCTAATCAGAGGAAATTGGAAAGATTTTCTAAATGAAAACTGAATTTTCTGATGGTAATAAAAGCAGAATATATCATCATATATGTATGGCTTGCAGCCAAAGCCATAATCAAAGGAAAGTGTATAGCCTTTAAGCTGTATTATTCAACTTATTATATGTTATGCATAGTATTCATTTTTTTAAGCTAAAATCTTGATTAAACTATCCTTCTTGTGAAACTAAAGAAGAAACACCAAAGTAAAATAAAGGAAATAATTAGGAGCAGAATTGAAAGCTACATAATAGAAAATTTTAAAAAGTGAAACTTTTCTTCTTGAAACCATCAATGCAGTTATAAAA